AAAAAAAAAAAAAAAAAAAAGTCTCCAAGAAGAAAACTAAGATTTACTGAGTGCTCACTACGCACCAGGCAGCTCTGTGCCTTTGTATGCATCAGCTCAGCTAAAACAAAACCAACAACCCTGTGAGGGGCAATTTTTAAGCCCATTTTAAAGATGAGGAAACTGAGTCTCACAGAGGCCAAGGCCCAAGGTCACACACCAGTGAAGAATAAACCCAAGGGATCTAACTTCAACCTCGGGCTGCCTCTGTGACTCAGCCTGTTTCTCTTCCAGTGTTTCTGTGAGAAGAATAAGCACTGTCTTCCTCAGTCCCAATAAACTGCCAGGACCAACTCTTCCCAGCTCCACTGACAAAAGGCCTGAGAGCGTGGAGATCTAGATGCAGCATCAAAAGCCCAGAACATTCTATTAGGTTCAGGATGTTCTGTTATACAAGGCTGTCTAAATTTAAGAACTATCCAGGTCATGATGATGTAAAATTATTAAGAAAGGCTTTTCTAGTCTTTAATTTTTTTAAAAAAATGAATCATGCCCTTAATCTCAAATCAAACACATTCCACTTTAAGTCTTACTCACAGAAAGGCCCAGCAAGGACCCTGACCTCCCCAGTTTGTGTCATCGATGAGCAAGCAGCATGCACAACAGAACCACTGCACCCTTCCTTGGGGGCCCTCCACGCTGAGGGGCTGCAGGTCTGCTCCGGGAAATTCCAAGTAGCAGCAAGAGCAGCCTTTCACGCCACATCCTAGCCTCTTGGACGGGGTAGCCTGCCAACTCTGCCCAATGAACTACTCCAGGAGTGCCCATTGGGACATCTTAAAATTGAAGGTAGCCTGCCAGGGACTTCCGTGCACAGCGACCCTTTCAGCCCCCACTTCTCAAGAGCATACAGTTCTCACTTTGGCAACAAAACCATTTCATTTGGCAGTATTACACTTGCCTCCAGGGAAATGCATGGAGAGAGAACATGCGTATTTATTAAGCACCATACCACACGCTTTTACATGTTATTTTATTGAACTCTCCTAATAACCTAATGCCATTGGTTTTCTTTCTTAATTTTTTTCTAATAAGCAAACTGATGCCCAGGAAGGTTAAGGGACTTGCTCATGTAATGCCGTAGGCCTGGGAGGCACATCCAAGCCCCTTCCACGGTATCGACATGCCGAGTGGAACTTGGGAAACAACAGCCAAGCCAAGAGTGTTTCAAAGACGCTTAGCTTCTTCATCATGTGGTATCCTAAGGGTACAGCACTTCTATGAACAGGAAAATGTCAAATTTCAACTGTTTCTTTTCAGTCTTCAAATAAATCTTTCAGAAATTCAGAAATCATTTGACAAGAGTAGTTCAGAAACCTTTCTTAGTACCTACTTTGCATGCATCAAAGGGCCTCCACTCCCTAAAATCTCACAATCTGTGAAGAGAGACAGTCACATAAAAAGGTAATTCCACACAGTGGCAAATACTGTGAGAGAGGTGGGCAGTGGGAGCTACGGAAACCCAGGGGATTCTTCTAACCAAGGGCGGGGTGGTGACAGCAGGAGGAAGTCTCAGGAAAGGCTGCCTAAAAAGTGGGCGTGGACTGAGTCTAAAAGAACAAGCATGCAACTGACAGAATAAAGCCAGGGAGAGGCGAGATGAACTCCAGGGAGGGGGCAGAGCACGAGCAAAGGCACAGAAGTGGGAAGGCGCCTGGTCTGTCCGAGGAGCTACACCCATTCCTGGGTTTCAGGGGTTCCCAGTCTAAGAAAACAGGGAATTCCTGGAAGCTTCTGAGTAGAAGAGTGACAAGGTCAGGTTTGTCTCAGTCACAGCAGAATGGTCACGATGCGGGCTCTGGAAGCAGGCTGACGTGAGCTTGTATCTGGCTCTGCCATTTGACAGGCACGTGACTATGGTGGTTATGTAAGGCACTGGCCTTGACTCTCGTCTAGAAAATACTTATACCTCATAGGGCTGCTGCTGAGACTTAATGAGGCAATGGACCACATACACCGCCAACAAAAAATGCAAACTCTTCTAAAGATCCACGTTCACGATCACACCAAAGGAAAACGTTCTAGAGCACAGTGCACCTTCCACGTTCCGGAGTGCTTGTCCTACCTGACAATGGGCAGTTTGGTGAAGGGCACCGGAGGCAGCGTGAGGCCATCTGGGAGAGTGATGAGTTCCATCGTCCCAGGACATTTGGATGTATAGTTCTCCAGGCTTTGAGTCACATCTTTCTTTTCTGAAGAGAAAATAAAAACAAAATAAAAGTTAATCAAACAACAGTAAAAGTGGGAGGCCTTTGGGTTTTATTTTTGTCTGGTGTTTTTTGAGCAAAAATAAAATTCTTTACCCAATCCCTGTCAGTCCAGGAGTCCAACAAAGAAGCAGTGACCACAAGAAACAAAAAGTAGAAGCCTTATTCAATTTATTTAAATAATCACTAGCAGCTGCTCCATTTAAAGACCTATGGATAAAAAGGAAATTAAGTTACTATCTTCTAGATTTCATTTTCCAAGAGAATAAATCCTTACCAAATTCCAAGAAAGTCAGTAGGCAGGCAGGACTGGAGAATCAGTTTATTTTATTACTTAAATATTTTTCCAGCAATTACTAGGTACCAAGCCAAATGCCAGGTCCTGTCCCCAAGGACTTTATAGTCCATCTGTGTAACAGATATTTAAGTGAATAATCACAAGTCAACATTTTTGATATAAAAATAGAGCCCTGTGAGATAAGACCATTTTTCTCACCACATCCCCATCCCTTTCACTAGGAGGGAAGAAAAGAGGACACAGGTAATAATAAATAACGTTTGGTCGTTGTCCAGGACGTGCTCTCGACACGTGCTCACAGCTTCCGTAACACTCCAGAGCTCGAGAGACTTTCCTGCTCTGAAACTCCTACTAACTCAGGAAAGCAGCCATTATTGTGCCCATTTTGCAAATGAAAAAACTAAGACCAAGTGAAGTTAAACGGCTTGTCAAACACGGTGTGTTTGGCCCTAAGCCTGTGGTCTTCTCCCGATCCTGTTTAGAAGAATTAGGAAAGTTAGGAATCGGGATGGGTGTGGGAAAGGGAGGCCCCCCTGGCCTCTACTTTCTCTGTCACTGCCGACAGGAGAGAGGGAGGACTTGGGGAGAAGAGTAACGGAGGGACACAACCACGGGGGGGCCCTAGGGCAATGGAGTTAGACCAGGTCCCCATAAATGGACACTTTGCCAGGTCTCGCCCTGTCTCTGTGACCACCTTAGGGGAAGCCGTTCAACCTTTCTGAGCCTTGTCTTCCTATCTAAGGAACTGCTAAGGTGAAATGAGATTACACACTAGAGAACGGTGACTGGTAGAGATGAGCACCGAGAACAGTGGAACGATTGATAACTGTCCTCATTACCACGCAGTGGCACTGACGGGTAAGGGAGCAAGTCCAGAGAGAACGGGTAAATGGCTGCAAAGTGAGGCCAAGGGCTCCACTGAGGCTGGGGAGCACACATAACAAGCGTCCAGGCAAGGACTTCACAGATCCCAGGCACGTATATACAGGGGCAAACTGCTGACACAGGAATTTCCAGTGTCTAAGCACCATTCTCTAGAGAGCAGGAGGGCAGAAAAGCAACCAGAATTAATTTTGAATACAACACAGTAATGTTAATCTGCAACATGAACAAAATTCTTTAAATAATCAAATCATCTTCAATTTATAGATGATAAATCTCCCAAAGTGCTCCAGCTGATAGCATGCAAATGACCTAATTTGCCTAGTGTTAGGTAGAGTGCTCACGGTTTAGGTATCTTACTAAGCTGAATTATGCTCTCTCAGTAAACCCTGCTAAAATGAAGAAGGAAATGAATCTATTTGTGATGCCTAATGTCACTTGCAAAGTTACCCAAGAAGGAAAAGTACCTGTGGCATATTACTCGGCTTAGCTGTGAATGGCTTTTCTGTAGAGACAATAGTGTACATAGTGAGTACTATAATGTACATGAATAACGTACATGAGTGAGGCCCAATGGCTGTGGGCTTCACTGCAGGGCGCTCCTGCTGTGCTGGTTCATTAGGGACCCTACTGTGTTTCTGCTTGGGGCCTTTTCTTTTGGTCTGGTAGTTTTTCCATGGAAGAATTGCCTATGTGGGGTATAACCCTGGCTGTGGGCATTCTCGGAGCTCTGTGGAAGCCAAGTGAAGGGATGAACATCTCAGTATTCTCTTATTCCCTTTGATTTGGGTGGGGCCCTCCTCTCTAGCTGTGCCTGGTGACTCCAGATACACTTTCTTTTCACTCTCCATCGGGTGAAATACTAATCTTCTGCTGGGGTGGAAGAGGGACAGCCACCTGCTTCGGGAGCAGAGGAGGAGATCTGGGGATATAATCAATTCATGAGACGACTCAGCAAATTCTCCTACTTCTATTGCTCTCCATCACACTCCCTTCCAGAGTGCCTACTGCCTTCCGGGGCTTCTGCAGGACACAGGAACTCGGAAAGCCTCTCAGCTTTCCCACCTCCTGACAACTTCAGTGTCATTTTAGTGGGGTCTCCAGAGTTAAATGTTTGTCAATTGTCAGTGTGATCCGTCCATTAGAAAGTTCCCATCGACCTTTCTCCCAATGGATTTGAGCATCTGCTATACATTGTTGCCTGGATCTATTATTTTATCAAGGATTACAAAATGGTAATTTTGTAATTCTCTAATTTCTCTGTACTTTTAACCTAGAATTTGTCTATAAGGAAGGATTTATTCCTCATGAGCTATTTGGCTATCTGAAACACAGGTGATACAGAAAGGAGGGTTAACAAATGGTTGAGTCTTTCCCTTTCCTTACTGGAGTAGAGAACTGGTACCCCAGCCACCTCCAACAACGACCAGTGAGTCGGATATTATTTAGTGTCATTATGAACTGGTGCATTGTATATATTTGGTGTTTCAATCAGTTGCCATCACATTCTTTTTTTATGTTCAAATTGTCCCATCTTTGGCCAGTGGGAGTCCCTTCAGGTTGGTTCCTGTGTCCTTTAGATAAGACCCCATTATTCATCAACAGCTTGTTATCTTTGTGGCTCATTTCCAGCCCCAGTCTAGAATCAAACCATTTCTCCAAGGAGTCCTGGATCCTTTAGTGAGAAACAGTGTTTAGAGATCAGAATCTGGAGGCTAGGGGTTCTTATTGCTACTGGATTTTCATTGTCTCTCTAGGCCTTGACAAAAGACAGGTCAACTTACAAAGTTTTTTAAGTGGTGAGACTGTTAAGAGACCTTTACTTTACATTTTTTTTAAGGTTTGACAGCTAAAAATAAACATTGCTGGATTACAAGATCCTTAAAGGAAGAAAGTCTTGTCTTTTTTGTTTTTCCCTCTAATTTGTCAAGAATGCTTAGAACACAGAAGATATTAAGGAATTATGTGTTGTTTGGTTGACCTCATTTATTCAAAGAGGTAGGACAGAATCACTCTTTGTTCAAGAACAAGAAAATAATAATAAAATAAAACACACATTCTCTGTCCACACAATGCAGAATAACAGCCACTGATTCACCAACAGAAGCATCCAGTACAGTTTGACTAAATCCTCTTCTTCCCTTCATTTACCTTCAAGCATGGGAACTGTAGAGTAACTCTGGGTACATCTGTCAATACTAAGAACTGTGACCCTCGCTGAGATCATTCTTTCTCCAGGTAGCCCTGGGCTGGGAAAGCATAATTTCACAAATTTTTCTACTTCAACAAACAACAGCTGAAATAATCTTTTGAGGCATTCCACCACTCATTACTACTTATGTCACTTTTTTACCAAGTTATTGTTTTCCTCTCTGTTTTTTTAACCTTCCCTGAATTTACTCCTTCTTGAGCTCATCCGTTCAACTTTCAGCAAACAACTCCTATGTGCCCATAGTGTTGAGCATCAGTCACACAGAAGCACTGCAGGCTCTACTTTTGGGGTGTCCCAAGTTGAAAGAGAACACAATGTCAAATATAATTCCTTATAAGTGACTTTACAAAGGCAGGATCAAAGTCTGGGAGAAGAGCGCATGGGACAACTAATTTTGCCAAAGAAGGCTTCATAGAAGAGGCAACATTTGGTCTTTGTCAAGGATCATGAGACTCTGGAAGCAAAAACCATGAGTATAATATTTGGAGGTTTTGCTATGTTATAAGGAAAGAATGACAAGAGCATAGAATGAATAATTACATATCATTACAAGCTGTATATACACAACAAAACTGGACAGAGAATTTGCCTAAGGTACATGCAAGAGGAAACTGGCTAAGGTTGATAACGTCTGTGGACATCAAAAGGGTTGACTGGTGCAGGCAGCACAGGGGCTCCGGATGGAAAATTTGTTATTAGTGCTGTCAAGTCGATTCCAACTCTAGGGACCCTGTGGACACCAGAGTGGAACCCTGCCCAGTCTTTTTTGCGCCACCCTCTCATCTTCTGGCACTATATCAGACAATGCTCCACTGCTATTCACAGGGTTTTCATGGCTAATTTTTTTTGGAAGTGGGTGGCCAGGTCCTTCTTCCTAGTCTGTCTAGTCTGGAAACTCCTCTGAAACCCGTCCACCATGGGTGACCCTGCTGGTATTTGAAATCCCGGTGGCGCAGCTTTCAGCATCCCAGCAACAAGCAGCCACCACAGTACGACAACGGACAGACGGGTGGTGTGGTTCCCTGACAGGGAAACCAACTTGCGGTAGAGAGAGCCCCGGATCTTAACCACTAGATCACCAGGGCCGGCTGGCTGGATGGAAAACAGCAGAGGTGAAAATGCTGCTGGCTGCAGTGCGGGGATGAGACTAGCTTTGCAGTACATTAATTGTCAAATAGTTTATACACATCTTGAATGTGCGTCCTTCTATGGAAAACAGGATACCTCAGAGACATGTGATATTTGCCGCAGAAGTTTCACTACTGACAATAGAGGATGAATACAAGTTTGCTAGGCAGAAAAGGAAGGCTTCCTGTCCAGAGAAAGAAATGTAGAAATGCTCAGAGATGAAAAAGAACAGAGTAAGCTCAGGATCTATATAGACAAAGTTTGCACTTCTATTATATCTTCAATGGACACTAGCCCTGTTTTAAGCACAAAGTTAGCAAGACTAAAATACCTGCAATCATTACCCACAGCTACATTTTACTGAGACTTACTTTGTGCCAAAGATTGTAGTAGGTTCTTCAGACTATAAAATCTCTAAGGCAAGAGATCCTGGTATATACCAGAACTTCAATGTTTTTTGATCCA